CCTCCCGCGCTCCAAAGACCCTCAATATATCATCGCATGGCTTGCGGTGCAAAATAAGCAGGGCGAGGACAAGGGCATACCAATAATTTGGCCCACAGCTCTATGTCTGGTTTCAAATTCATCATCACGCAAGCCACTATCACATATTCCAGAACTACCTGCGCAACTTCAGCCTTCCCCGCCTCCACCACCTCCACCATCAATCAATGTCGGGACACCCCGTGTAGATACACCGAGCACACCGCTCAGGGTATTAACGAACCACCCGCTAACACGCCGCCCAGCCACGGCTTCTCCATCTCCCCTCAGGGCTCTCCGCACATTAACCCTTTCGCACACTACCAGCCTGCAGAACGTCGCATCAGAAATAGGCGGTTATGTTGAGTCTGTCGTGCGTGAGCGAGACCGGGAACGGGAGCGAATTCGTAGGGAGCGCGAAGCGATGGCATCAGTATCTGCCTCACCGCAGGTAGTCACTCCAGCTGCAGCCGTAGCCTCTACTGTCCCCACCCCAGCACCCGACACAAATCTTCCTCTGCATCCACCCCCTCCAGTACCCACTGAACAACCACATATCCACCCGAGTGTCTACTATCCCTCTCCTGTAACTGCAATTGATCCCCCTGCTCCTCCCGGACCCCCCTCTGTATCTGAACCCCCAACACCGTTACCGCAGTCAAACCTTGCGCCTGCCCCCACTTCATTTGACCCGTTCAACACGATGGACTCGACCTGGTCGCAACCCACATCGGACTTCATGGACTATGATATGGATCCTGCTGGTCAGCGTCGTCTCGATGTAGACTTTGCAGATTACGATACTTTCACGTTCACTGATGATGACTTCAGTTTCTTTGATCGTCCCTCACGCCCATCGGATTCTGCGCCCGCACCACTTGCACTCTCACCAAGCATATTTGGTGTTGCAGATGTTGGTGTGTCATTTACCCCCGCAGCAGGCACTCAGCTCTCTCCCGATGTCCCGACCTTCACTCCAGCACCCGCACCCCCTCTCCCCTCTCCGATTACCTCACACTCAGCGCCTTCTACACCTCATGTGAAGGTTACGCACCCGCCCTCCCAGTTCGCTCGTACCTTTGACCCCATCGCTTTCGCTCCCTCTCACAGTCTTGCAGATGCCAAGTACTCCGCTGGAAAGTTTGCTCTCCCCAGCCCGCCAGACGAAGAGGACCGCACTTCGCCCTTGCCCGCCTTGCGTTCACAGAACCACAGCACAGCGTCTCCTGCTGATCTCCGTGCGCGGTACGGCGACGCAACAGACCCACGCATCAGCGTCGTACGCCAGCTTATCGGCGTCAAGCGCAAGTCCGAGTCGCTCGATCATGGAAAAGCGCGATGCCGGCAATTCCTCCTGTCCTCGTATGATGATAGCGTCCACGAAGAAATAATTCCTCTTATAGAGGATGACGAGAAGTCTGAGGCTGCTTCTGAAGACGACGCAGATATGGACGACGAACGTGAGCGCTCGACCACCCCACCCCCATCATACCTCCCTTTAGGTCCCATACTCCTCCACACACAGTTCCACCACGCGCTCCTCCTTCCACTCTGCCAACCTCTTCGCCCGCCGGGATCGGCAGTTGCGCCTATGAGTCTGGTGCTTCCACCACCCGTGGCTGCTCACACGCCAGTCTCTCCCGCTGCATCATTAGAGAAAATTAACCAGGAGGTGGCAGCGGCAGGCGCAGTGCTTGCGCGGGAGGTCGTTGAAAATTCTGTTTGGGCCCGCGCTTGGGGTTGCCGATGTACCACAGAGGATGAACAGGTTTGGCCTAGTGACATTCAAGAACTAGCGGATATTCTGAAGCGTGTGGATGTCCTTGACGGACCAGTAGAACTAATGACAATGTTCTCATCCGGTAAGTTTCTGATGATTACATCATATTTGTTGCTCAATTATGCCAATACAGACGGTGTACCCGCGGGGGAAAATGTTCACATTCAAAGATTAGACCCACCCATGTTTTCGGTAGGCAAGTCGGGTTGTGTCGTGCAAGTATTACCGTCAGCATTGCGCTTCTGGGAGAAGCTGGGCCTCACGCCCCATGGTGGCAAAAGGGACGTCGTCGCTTTTGTGTTTCTCGAAGAAGGTGGCCTGGAAAAGCAGCACCAAGCTGAAGTCTGGTTGAACAAGATGTCTGCAGGATACAGTGTGAGTCCGTTATCGATAATCTTTCTCTTGTTTTCAAGTTATCGATTTTATCTCGGGTAGGCCAGGCAACTTGGTTCTTTCACTCCTGGGAGCAGCACGATGTGCTCAGCGGACGGAGTCATGCCTTTGAGGCTGGAGAATCTGAGAAAGTCCATAAGTATGTTCTCTCTTGATTATTAATACGCTTGGGATATAACGCTCAAAATAGGGTCCTTTCTGCAATGCTTAGAGTCAAGCAATGACCTTGTCTTCTACATAGCCATTCCTGACTCAGCGATTGGGCTTACCTCACCCTTCCTGCGCGAAATCTTTAGTTTCGTCAAGCAGACCCAAGCCAAACGCTCTGAGGCTCCTATTCTCTTTCAGTTTGTCCCCGAGCACCTAATTTCCTCTTCGGAGAGCCCTTCTGGTGAAGACTCAGAGATCGACGCCCTCTGTTACGCCACCTACAGACGCATGCTCAAACCCGTTGAGCGCTCCATGTCTAGAGGATTTTCTGACAAGAGCGAAACAGTTGCATATTTACAGGAGCAGCCCTTTGTTCTGGCCCGTCCCTCGAGTACTGTCCATTTCGCACAAACAACTCCAGCTCGGTCCCTTGACGTCATGGATCGGCACATGCTCCTTCACGTTGGCTACCGATTTTCTGCCTGTGGAAAATGGCTATTCGCTGTGTGTGTTGACCAGCGTGGGGAAACTTACGATCTCGGGACGTGGCTGATACAGGACGAAATGGAGACATCGGCAGTGGTGCAAGTCTGGAATTTTGCGTTGCAATTTGCGAAGAAAGCAAACGTTGAGTGGCGGATTGTCATTGCGAAACTGGGGCCTATGACTGTCTGCGAATTGGAAGGTTGGTGTTACCGAATGACTCTTATATTGCCTTTATTTATTGTTCTATAGGATGGAACGTTCACCTGTCCGCTGCCGTCCCCTTGTGCAACGATTTACCCCCTTTCCATGTCAGTTTGCTTTCCGTGGAGCAGAATTTGTGCTGGCCTATCGTACCGCACCTTCATGAAACTTCAGGCTTGGCGTCATCCAGACGGGCACCTGCGAAGGATTCCAAATCTATTTACGTGGACACTGCTGCCCCTGCCTACACCATATATCCTTCTACACGTATTCCCCTTGCCTCGCGTTCTTGTCAGGAACAGGTAGATTTGCCATTCATCCCGGACAACGACGGCACTACAACCTCTGATACATTAACCATCCTACCACTATCTACATCCATCCTCGTTCGGTCTCCGTCCACACGCACGGCTTCTACCCAATCATCCATCTACATACACTATCTCCATGCGCTTCACACTCCTGGTTCTTCCCTCTCAATTTCAGATGATACCATGCGCAAGGATATCACACTCAATTTTTATGAATTGTCTGTTCTTGCAGGCGCGATGCTAGGCTTTCAAGAATACCCTTTACTGCCTTTCCATCTTGCTGCACTTGAGGCCATGCATCATTCTCTCAGACAGGAAGATATCAGCTGAGGCTTTTCCTCAGTCCCTCACTCGTCTTTTTTTTTGGATTCCTAACATGTAGATCTGTCGCTGTCTTGCTTTTTTTTTTGGTAACTACCCTACAGCTGTCGCATGTACCGCACTATTTTGTATCCTTACTGCTCACATTGCATCTTGCTTGCCTGATCATGTTTATTGATATGAGGTAAAAACTCGATAAACACGAATGTACAAATTCTGGGGAATCTACTGGGTCTTCTTTTCCTGAGCATGGTACCCCTTTGGTGCATCCAAGCGCACAGATGACTGGAGGCTGGCAAGAGCTGAAACAGCCATCATGATAACGGGCACGATGATGAAGAAAACGACAAGTAAAGCGACAAGAAGGGGCGTTGAGAACAGTTGGTATCTCTTGAAAATACCACCGTCAGAAAAAGTCGAATTGTCAGGAGCGTATGTTGAGTCAAATTCGGAAGGGGGAAGTAACTGACGGCGGTGATGTTCAAGTGGTGACCCAGTGTACAAAACCAAGTGGCTCGTGAACGCTGCATCAATCTTCTCGATTTCGCTAGAGAGGTATTGATCTGGTACATGGTGTGTAAAGTTGATGCACCTCGACTTGGTATGAACTCACCATAACCTAACATAGCCACCTTTCGGAATTTCGGGCTACCCTCCATTGCTGGCATATTGACGCATACGACGTGCTTGGAGTTCTCAGCAAGGTCTAGAGGACCATCTGCTGGACTAGCATTGGTCAAAGTCGAGCCGCAGCGACTTGCCAAAGACTCCGTGATGTCCTGGAGGGAAGAAAAGGCGCTATGCTTCACGTGAGGATACTGTCTTGATGAGGGCGCAGTGCTTAAAATGACAGAGAGACCAGAAGAAGTGGGTAATGCACGAAGGTCAGAACTACGGAGCTGCGGAATAATGTCAGTGTCATAGCCAACTGGAAAGCTAGTACATACACCTGGCTGGTCTATTACCAGAACAGTATCGAAGGAGCAGACATCTTCTAGCGAGAGAACTCCACCAACTATGCTCACAGAATCTTCATACCGTACATCTGGAGATAGACTGTTTAACACGGACGAGCTGTGCCGAAGTGAGTCCTGACCAAATTATTGATACAGCTGACGCAAACCTTTTAGATGACCATGCTACAATTGGAACTGTCTCCGAGTACCCCAGTACACCGACAACAGGGAACAGAGCCAAGATGGCAGCGCGTCCAGCCATGAAGAAGTTAGTCTAGTTATGATTTAGCCTGAGGATGCGCGCTGCAGCCTGAACTTGAATTACATAAGCTAGGCCGGTGTGAAACTCATTGCTGTTTAGTGTTCACCAGCAAGGCAACAATCATGGCCACTATCCCTCCTCAGGCGAGGTCCAAACAGCTCCGGGCATGCTTACTATGTTCTATCATTCAACACCCCATGGATTTTCGGAAGAACGGTTGTCCAAATTGCGAAGAGCTTATGCAGGTATTCCAAGGATGATCGTCGTGAATCCTCCCTGCTTTCGCTAACATTTTATCAGATGAAAGGTTCTCCTGACCGCATAAGTGTTTGCACCACCACCTACTTTGACGGTATTATTGCTGTCATTGACACTGAAGCTAGTTGGGTTGCACGATGGCAAAGAACATGTAAGTTTACCCTGCTGTGAGCTTACTAGATGTATGCTGATTTCTGATTGCAATTCGTTTTATAGCAAAGTACGTTCGGGGAATGTATGCTGTCCGCGTGAAAGGTCGTATTCCGGAAGATGTAGAAGCTGAACTTGAGTCCCGTGGCATCAAGTACCGTCCAAGAGACCAGAGTGATCAGGATTAGCATATTCTTATAGTGTGTTACATTTCATGTTGCAGTTCAGTTTTTTTCACGATTTACACTAGCTTTTTCCCTGCCTTTGACTCTTAGTAGCAGAATTAACAGCCAGCATAGATCTTCGTTATACGTTACATTGTCCACTCGTTATAACCCATAGTCATTGGAGCCAGTGCCTGAGTCGGGAGCCCATGGCACATGAACTACAGTTGTCACTTACCTTTGATCGCCGTTCATACAACTATGTAGACATTGTAGCTCTGTACGGTAACGCAGGACGAGAACCAGCAATGAAGTATATACCGAATCAGAACAATATGATAGTCTTCGGCAGAGTACGTATACAAGAAAGTATCAATCCATGGCCTTACAGTGGCCAATGTGCACTGATACACAGGAATATACCTGCAACGGTATCAGAGCAACAGTCACTGTAGTCAACTGAAACTTATAATGCAGGGTAATGGGTAAATGGGGACAGGAGGTATTCAGCAATAGTCTGCCCTTAGCCGGCCCTTGGTATTAAAGCAACTCATGAAGGACCTGGTCATATCGATGAGGCATGTGTGACCTAGAAAAGGGCGTCAACACGTAACCTAGCATCACGCGCACGAATCAAGACACACCTAAGCATATTTCTTGAGAAAACTATTTGAGAAAATACTTTCTCGACGTCCAAGACCTCGAATAGCCTCAATGTTTTATCGGGATGAGTATTAGGCTGTTGGGACTGATGTGATGGGTGCAGGTCACAGTCCCTGACAGCCCATAAGACGCGACCAGGTGGGAATAGGTCAGCCATTTGCATATTTGCCTCGAGAGTTTTTCGCATCGACAGAAACTATGTCACACGTCAATCCGACCAAAATTATTATGTTGTGATGCATAGAACATACCCAATGAAGGTCATCCGATGACCCATCTCCAGCCTTCCATCTCTTGATTCTATTGGTGATGATCGAATATCCTTCCGTACCACCATTCCGCTCATTTGCATCACACAGCCAGAGGGCTGCATTACGAATGTCCCGGACAGAACCGAGCGAGAGTCGAGACACAATGTCATCGGAACATACAAACGATGTGACCATTTTCGATGCTAATCGGCTAAGCCCAGCATCCGTCAGACAACTAGGGAGGTTCAAAAATATGTCCCAGTCGGATAAGATACATGACGTACGGAGGTCCTATGCAATATACAGATACGCTGTGGTCTGTTGGCAGCCCGCTTGAAGGTACTGTCAAGCAAGTTGCGGGATCCGCCCACATCTAAATGGAACATGTCAATATGCAGCAATCACAATTTCTTCACTTTCACCATAGCCAAGAGAACCGCAACCCCTGCTCCCAAACTATGCCCGCAAAGTATGAGTTCTGGTTTGCAATTAGTTGTCACGAATGTCAATGTTATTATAACAATCTCAATTACCATATCCAGAATTGCGAGTCAATGCATCCATGACAGCCACATGGACTGGTTTGCCAATCTCACCCATCACACGGGCCATACGAAGCATCCCTCCGTGAACTTGGTATTTTGGCTGCTTGTCATAGGAAGTTGTCGAGAGAATAGACAAACGCCTCCGAGAGAACCTTCTACTTGACCCTGGGAATGATATACTGTCTCCAGCATCTTCCTGAGATGTGCTCGATGCAGGTTCGAATTCTACCGGATCGCACGTCAGATCAACAGCGAGCTCGTTGAGTGACATTGTGCCTGTAAAGCCATAGTCAGCCCAAGACGAACGGCTTCTCTCAAAATACGGCCACCTCGTAAAACAAGCACGACCTGGTGTCTATCGTGGTCAGTCAAAACCCAGAACCTAGGCATCTGGCGTTCAATCCCAACAACAGCCGTTGCGCGAGCCCTTGCCTGTATATTTGGCTGCTCTACTGCCTCCCCATGCACCGACCTTTCAAAAATTTCCTTGTCGTGCTTACCCATTAATATGTCCCACCAAGAGTACTCCAGGTTATCAGAAGGCATTCCGCTGGACGAGGAATTTCCTTCCAATTCATCTTCTGCTGCATTCACAGCATCCTGGAGCTGCGCCTCTTCTGAGTCCTTTTCATTACGTGGGGACGGCGGGTTTAAATTGCGGGATGGCGATGTCAGAAGCAGAGGAACTCCGAAAAAGAGTAGACTTGCGCCACCATAGCCGGCAAGAACCATCTTGGAAAATCGTCGCAAGTTAGTCTTTAGCTCAGCTATAGACTTCTGCGGTACATCTATGCGCGTTTGGTTCCATCTAAAAGAAGATATGGACGATATTGACAATCTTGACAGGACACTCTGAGACCTGGAACGGGTATGAGACTGCGTAGATGCTTCTCCGATGTCCGCAGATATCAGTTGTCCTTGATGCCCCGGGAATATCACGTCAGACGTTACTCGAACTCGTGAAGGTGTACGTTTGAGATGAGGGGCGATGGACGGGTCATGAAACTGAATCTCGCGAAGGTATGGGAACCAACTCTGCTCTTGCCACTCATGGGTGATGCCTTGCAGAGCCACCCATGCAACCAAAGCTCTAGCGACCCTCTGTTATCCCGTACCTTCTCCCTGGTATATGCTCGTGTGAACCAGGATGATCCCACTCACGCTTTACCAGATCGATGAACGATGCCAAAGAGAAGGAGGCTTCGCTACTGCCAGGGAAAATGACGGAGAGCATATCGATGGAGCTATAAGCTGCTCGTAGGGAAGCTGATGAAATATATTCCCCGACATGGATGGGAGCAAGAGTAAGTCTCTCAGCAAAGGTGATAGCGCTCACGACTGCGCCTTCTAGGACCGGCGCAGCGACCTCGCTCCCACCGAATATTGTGTGATCGAGGGCGGAAGCAACTACACCCACGACACCGGACGCTGCATCTCGAGCAACCGAGAACTATGGAGTAACCTGAGCTCTGCAATTCGAAATCCGAGCATTATTCGGCTTACCCCCAGTCGTGTTGTACCCTTGACAGCAGTGAACGCAAGGGATGTCGCCGCTGAAGTGAGGTCAAGACTTTGCCTACCAAACCTCTGCCAGTCATAGTTCATGATTATTGGTGAGAACGAAGGGTATCTGTGAGCAGGGCAAGTCCATGCCTCAGCTGCTCAGGTAAAGAATAACAACGTCAGTTCCAGATCAAAGGAAGCAACACAAAGCCTGTGATTCTGTGGACACACGATCCTAAATTAGACTCAGCAGTGACTAAAATGGCATATTTGTGGAATATTATAATTTGCTCGATTTGCTTACCTTGCAAGTACTACTTAGCTTCCTTCATGCGCTCCAGCTTCCGCTCGTTGTTGCCAGCTCTCCGCGCAGTCGCTGCCAGATGTCCCCCGTCACAAATATGCACATCCTCGAGAACATATGCTACTGAAGCAGTGCCAGATTACGAGCACAAGCCTTCACATTACGGCCAACCGCTCTTCCAGTCACACCCCCACCTACGTGAGTTTAAGCCCTCTGGTTCACTTGCTATACCGTTTTCAAAGTCAAGACAGTCAGGCCTAATGAACTCACACCCGGGATTCCGTCCGAAGAGTATGAGCGGCGTCGGAAAGAACTCATGGATAGCCTACCTAGCAATAGTGTGGTGGTTCTGATTGCTGCACCTGTTAAATACATGAGCGGAAGTATGTGAATGTTCTACTCTCCTTTTTCAGTACCTTAAAATCCGCTTCAAGATATATTGTAGGACTTCACCAAGTCTACGCTGATTACTTGCCTGACATTATGGCTTCAAGTTACAAATACCGCCAAGGATCTGACTTCTGGTATCTCACTGGTTTCGAAGAGCCCGATTCTGCCGTTGTCCTAGGTACGTAGTTGACGTGTTGCGTTAGGCTTGGACTTATTTCCTACCAGAGAAGAATGCGTCTTCTCGAGGATATAGAATGACACTGTTCTCGAACGGGAAGGACTCTGCGAAAGAGAAATGGGATGGCCCAAGGTAAATTTTGAGACTAAGACGATGTCCTGAAGCAATATTTTTTTCAGGACAGGCTTTGATGATGCTCTGAATGTTTTTAAAGCGGACGACGCGCTAACAATCAAGGCTTTTCCTGCTCAACTGCGATCTATGATTAGCCTCTACTCTAATGTTTATATTGACCTACCCCAGTCTCCGCGAAAAAATGCACGCTCCACCAAGTCATTGCTTCGGTACCTTTCGCCTCCTGTCAATCCTCGGTCAGAGTACGAAACTGTCGTGGAGTCGTTGTCAAGCTCCCGGCGGAAACCCCTTGCTCCTCTCATTGCCCAATTAAGGGCATTCAAGAGTATCTGCGAGCAACAGGTCATGAGAATGGCCGCTGACATTAGCGGTCGCGCCCATGCAAAGGTCATTGGCTCCCTCAACCATCACTTGTTATTCTGACACGATAAATTTTCGTCTTCAAGACAATGCGCTTTACACGACCCGGCATCTCAGAAAGTGCACTAGCAGCTCATTTTGAATACTTGTGTAGTCTATCAGGTTCACAGCGCCTTGCATATGTCCCTGTTGTTGCATCTGGGTGAGTCTTCAGCTTCGAATGCACGACATTGAGATCTTGAACCTGTAGTGCAGGCCAAATGCACTCATCATACACTATACGTCGAACAATCAAGTTGTACAAGATGGTGAGATGATTTTGATGGACGCTGGATGTGAATATAAGTAGGTCATTTCGTTGGGTTCTTTCTGTCACACTGACATTTTTAAGCGGTTACGCGTCTGACATCAGTGGGTGTTACTAATTCTGCTTCCAATAACATATTACCCACATCTGGTTAAGCTCGCACATATCCAGTCAATGGTTCCTTTACACCTCCGCAAAAGGAGCTATATAGCGCAGTGCTGTCTGCGCAGAAGGCTCTCGTGGGGTTTTGCACGGAGGCAGAGGGATTGAGTCTTCATGACTTGCATCGAAGATCTTGCGACCCTCCTCAGACAAGAACTGAAACAGATAGGGTTTACTCTCCATACAGGAGATCTGGAGAGAGTACTTTACCCTCATTTCCTCAGTCATCCAATTGGGATTGGTACGTGGGTTTCTGCTGTTGCTTTCTGGGGTCCTGATGCAGGGATTTTCTAGATTTGCATGAATCATCATATTCAGACAGAGGAGAGCTGTGCGTAGTTCTCGTAGTTTTGTCTTCCTTAGATCTAGAGTTCACCTTCCATGCAAGATTGAAAGCCGGGATGGTAATTACTGTAGAGCCAGGTACGTATTTTGTGCACTCTATTAATAATGACCACTAATCTTTATCGACATTTAGGAATATATGTCCCACCTACCGCTCAGTTCCCAAAGCACTTCCATAACATTGGCATCCGAATAGAGGTCGACTAGGATATCTGTACTCTCTGCAGTTTTACTGACATAACTTACAGGACGAGGTCCTTGTTGGCGAGAAACACCCCGTGGTTCTCAGCGTTAGTGCACCGAAGGAGGTTCGTCATGATCTCTTCCCGCCGGATGAGCTAAAGACGCACGCATTTTTAGATTGCGGATATAGAGGGTGCATGTCAGGGACTACTGGGACTGGAGCCAATTTGAGGCTGGAGAATCATCTCTATATAATATATATCTAGATCTCGCCCAACCTATGTGCTCCCATACTGTGCTCCCAGATAACATTACTCATCCTCAGGATGATCGGCTGTCTCATATGCCTTGAGTATCTGATCCTTCCTGAGCCACTTTTCTTCAGGAGTGAAGTACCAACTGAGGAAAGCGAAAATGGAAATTGCGCCAAAGATAACGGTGGCCTTCCACGGAGGTCATTGGACGAACTGATGAGGACAACTGTAAGACTCACAAAATTGAATGTCTGAGCGTTGACAGGGAACTCAAATGGTGATATATCGACCTGGCACCAACTGAGTTCGGGTCATGTGTCATTGAGTGAAAGTAGCGCACCGCAAATACCAGTGCATTAAATAAGACAGCGCAAACATAGATTGGCTTGGCGTATTTTCCCAGCTTGAAATGAGAGGACTGGAAACGATCGGGTGTCATCGTCAAGCGCAGCAAAGCGATAAGGCCATATGCCGCAATGGTCGGGGCAGCCCCGGCTGAGACCAACGATGTGAATGCCACCTGACTGGGAATGATCGTACAGAGAAGAATGGCTGCAAAGATGTAGATGACGGTCACTGCATTGCGAGGTTGTCCTTTCGAGTCGACAGTGCCGATCCATCCGGACAATGGTAAAACCCCGTCTCTTGCGACCGCGAACACAAGGCGCGAGGACGCGACAATAGCAACAGTTGTGTTCTAGCAGGCCAATGAATGAAAATCGAGACTGTTTCAGCGAGGTAGCACACACCATGATCAGGCCGATGACCGCAATAATAGTCATAAAGATACTGGCTTTCCTTCCAAGAGCGAGCGCGTAGATCTGCACGAATGGCTGTGGTGCATCGAGGGCGAACACGGTGTCGAGGTCTGGTGTACAGAACAAAAACAGAATGGTCGTGATGAAGCCCAAAACACCTGTTGCAATTGCACTCCACAGAATCCCTTTGGCTGCAACCACACTGCGAGAAGTCAGACAGGGACACCATTACGATGATGGAGAATGCCATACCTAGCATTCTTGGTCTCCTCGGCGATGTGTCCTGAGGCATCAAAGCCAGTCAGGGTCCCCGCTGTGAATAACCTAGAATCGTGTTAGATAATCGACTGATGACTGAAATTACAATTCGACATACAAAGATAAGAGCCAGTTCCACCCAGGTGGGGCTCCCGTGCCGTTATCTGTCGTAAAATCAGTGTGACTAAGGGCGTTAGCAGAGTGGATCTCTTACAGGTCATCGTGAAGACATCATTGGCGGACCGGAAACCGTAGGTATTCGAAACACCGATGGGCAACCAGATGAGACACAGGAAAAAGTCAAGCATCATGAGGCCGATGGAAAATTTGAAGACACCAGAATAAAATTTTGGCGGTAGGTAGTTGATAGCCACCGACAACAACAACATTCCTTCGGATATTGCCCATATCAGAGCCCGCCACCGGATATTGTCATTTCCGGCACCTCCAGGGAAGTCAATCTCCCAAACAGCAAGTTGAGAAACGATATAATTGGCTGTGGCCTATAAAGTTGAGAATCGAGTCTACCGTCAGCTTAAATGACATACTTGGCAGTTGCTCGCGGTAAAGGTCATCCATGCAGTACATGCCCACCAAGCAACGAGGAAGCCGAAGAATCTGGCATGCTTTGGACCAGCACTTTCTGCAGCCCATATGTAAATAGAGCCGCTTAATGGTAACGCGGAACAGATCTCGGCGAGAACAGCAGCAGTCATAAACATGAAGATCATCGTAACAAGGTACGTTGACCTGTTGGGGTTAGAATGCACGAGTAAAACATAAATAAACAGACAAACCATATCGCGGCGGGCCCTCCCGCAAGAAGCCCGAGGAAGAGATAAGATCTATCGAAACGATGTTAGTAATAGCAGGAGCGGTTAATGCGGTTAGATACCTGACGCCTCCAATGAAGTTTAAGGCAACAAAACTTGCCGCAAAGCTTTCAATCAGGTGCCAGCTGCGATGTAATTGCTAAAGCAGGTGAGATAAGATATCAACCAAGGTACACACATATAGTCTCACCTGTTTATAGCCAAGTTGTGCCTGAAATCATGAAAAAAAATAGAATCAGCACAAGATGCATTACTCCTCGTAAGGAGTGTGAAAGCAAGGTGACACTGGGGGCTTCCCTACGCAGGTATGAGCGCTGTTCAGGTTCGAGCGGTATTATCTCAACCCCTACTGCAACTCAGACGTCAGTGACAACCCAGACGCGTCCGGGATGGTCAAAAACGGTTCCGAGTCGGTCAGCAGTAGGGATACCCGCAGCCGTCCAGTTATCATCGACGTTACCGATTAATTCAGTGATGCCAAACGCGTCATTTCCTGCAAGGTCGTTCCCTTCTGTCGTTGAGGAGCGAATTACCAGCTGCAGGGCGTCCGTGGTTACAATAGATCCACTTTCGTTACCACCAACAACATCGTCTGTCTTCTGTGCTCCAGTGCTGGAATGGTTGGACATCGTGTCAAACGAACTGGAAGATAACGAGGATAAAGGTACGAGTGGGATCAAGGCAGGATGGTATAAATACACTTGAAATGTAGTTGTAACTCCGAAGCAAAATCACGTCAAAAAAACTTCGATAAGGAGCATCAATTGTGATCTATAACTTCCGGTCGCCACGGACTGTCATGAATATTTATTGAACATTGAGATGCTGAGACACAATGATTGAACATCTGAGAAAGGGAAAGGGATCTAAGAGGCTTACGGGTTTGAGAGCTTTGATTAGGAGCCACTCCTCATTAGAAACATCAGCCTTGAAGGACGTCTAGACATGGCTAATGTTAGCTCTGGAGTTCACATCATCATGTGCAGTCAAACCTTGAGAACATCAATGCTCTGTCTTGTGATGTGACTAAAAAGTTCATCCTTTTCATCGAAATGTCGGCCAAACATTTTTCCTGATTCATACACAGCGTGTTCGATCTTCACAGCAACCCCACCACCAGATTGAGATTTCTTCACGATCTGCGGAGCCACGTTTAATGTCACGATGTCAACGTAGGGTAGGACAAAAAACCTACGTCGAATGATTTGTGGTTGATCTCCAACGACGTGCTTGTTACAGGATTATGAGCAGTAGTACTTAGAAAGTTTGAGATGAAGGACTTACACCTTCCCAAGGTCAATAATTTCTTTTTTCTGTGTGGTCGGATCGACCGTGACAACACAAATCGGAGTGCCCACCCGAAGAGTCCCATCCAAAATATCAACTCCCAAAATAATCGGATCACGTTTACAGAAGGCAGCTATAATCTTCAATCTACACGGCCACACTGCTTGTGGAGCCGCGTCTCGTCGCTTCGCCTCCATGATTTCGTTGTTATAGGCAGTGAAGGCGTCAAACAGATGGTAGATGATGTCAGCTGCATGGCGAGTCAGAAAAACCACCACAGTAACAACGGAAACTAAAACCTTTGAACACTTTAATGCCCATTTCCTCAGCGAGCTTTTCTGTATCCCTGTCAACTGGTACATCGAAACAAAGAATGACAGCGAGCTCCTTGGCCTTCTCTAGCATTGAGGCAGCGCGCATGACGTCTTTCTTGTGCACGGGACCGATATTAATCCCAGATACAGGGATTTTGCTGACTTTCAAGAAGTCGAGCAACGCTTCGAGAGATCCTAACGTACTGGCTTGCACGCAAACCCCACGACCTGACTTGTCGACGGAATTTAAAAGCGAGGTAAGGTCTGACATGACCTCGTCAAGCAAAGCCTCCTCGTCATCGTCTGGCCCAACAACAAGGAGCCGTGAACCTGCAACAGCTTTATCAAGATCAGGAGCAACAAGCTTGACACCCAGTGCCGCCTTGACTTCTTTATGGTGAACATATGCTGACTATGAGGAGAATATAAGTTCCGACCTCAAAACACCCCAACAAATTGTACACTTGCCTTAATTCGCAGCTCGCGAAGCGGCTGTGGTGTCAACAATGCACGGACCTGAGTGACAATCGGTCCATTAAGACCGCACACAATTATTTTGTCACCTTCACGTAGGACACCGTTGGACAAGACAACATCAATTGTTGTGCCCAAGCCTTCTACTACCTTGACTTCGAGGACAGTACACTCCAGCTCCGAGAGGTACATCAAGCGATTGCTCATACGTTGCTGGGTAAGATTGACCAATAGCATGATCATGTCGGGGACGCCTTCCCCAGTGATGGCGGAGGTAGGTACCAGAGAAACATTGCGGGCAAAATTCTTGTTGTCGTAGTATAGGACTGCGTTCAACCCCTGTTCTGCAAAGGCGAGGATGGTCTTTTGTACACGATCTTCGAATTCTCGTTGAACAGATCGTTTTTGCGTCGCAAGTGATTCTTGGAAGGCGCCATCGGGTGTTTCTTTCCAGCCATATAATCGGTCAATCTGCGAAAAGAAATCGGAACCAAACACCGGAGAATATCAAGTAGATCCACCTTGTTAAGGGCCACGATGAATGGTGTCTTTTTGTCTCTCAATAGCCTTAGCGACTCCAGCGTTTGTGGCTCAAGGCCGTGCTAGAATGGGCAATTAAAAAAAGATCTTTAGCAGAGAATTAGAGCGTACCATGATATCTACCACCAAAATCGCGATGTTACACAGAGAACTTCCACGGCTACGCAAGTTAGAGAAGGATTCGTGTCCGGGTGTATCGATAACCAACAATCCAGGGATCCTATATTCTTGAGAGTTGTCCTGGTATCATTGTTCAGAAAAAAGGGACCGTTAGAACATTCAAGTGACCAGCCTTATTCATCACTGCAGTCTTCGTCTTTATGGCTTCTAACGGGAAGTACGTGGCACCTATTTGCTGGGTAATGCCGCCTGCTTCGCCTTCTTGTACATTTGTTTGACGGATCTGAAAGGATGAGCATGACAGATAAAGACATGCAAGAAAAACAACAGACCTTATCCAAAAGTTTCGTTTTACCGGTATCGACATGTCCGAGAATACAACAGATAGGACTGCGAAGGTTATCCTTGTCATCTTTACTGTGTACCGTAGTGGCAGCCGCATGTGTCTGTGCTGATATTGCATGCGCCTGCGCTGTCCCCGCAGCTGCCTTTTCTGTCCTTGAATCTGCTTGTGCTGCGTCGCGTGGATCCTGGTCGACTTGAACGCCCGTTTGGATTTCTGGTTGTTCTGGTTGTATCTCCTCTGAGTCAAGACTTTCATCTGATTCATCCCCGCTACTTGCATCCCACTCATCCTTCACTCCGTCCAACCTAGCTTCCTCAGCAGTGGGCTCGACATGAGAAGAGGCGGAAGTCTCGAGGATGTTGTCTGGAGTTTCCGGTCTCGACTCAGGGGCAGGCGAAGCTGTGGCCTCCTTGGCAAGAGGACCTTTCTTCTTCCTATTACCGAACACAGCCTTTTTTGCAGAAATACCTGCCTGCTGTTGTAGCCCTTCAATCTGAACACCGGATGCGAGGAGGGCCTGCCGACGAAGCTCGGCGGCTGCCTTTTCTTCCTTCTGTTTCTTCGTCATGTATCGACCCTCCTTCTTGGCCAGCTCAAGCTTGGCCTGAAAAGGCCTGTAAGCAAATTAGTTTAAGGTTGAGATGCTAGATCATGCCTTTTCCTTTTCTTTCTTGCGTTGTTTCTCCTCTTCTTTGCGCTTTGCCTCCTCTTCCGCTTGTCTCTCCTCCTCTTCTATGCGTTTCCGTTCCTCCTCCTCTATTCTTCGCGCCTCCTCCTCCAGTCGCTTCTTCTCCTCCATCATAGCCTTCAAGGCGCCGAGGCCGCCTTTGGCCTTTTTGGCAGGTGCGGGAGTCGGGGCAACGGCGGGAGTGACGTCCTCATCTTTCTTTCCTTTCTTCTTCTTTTTCTTCTTCTTTGGGTCCGTCTCACCTGCCCCTGCTTCTTCTCCATCTTCGTCATCCTCATGTGCTGTGACAATAGTATTATTTGCAGGTGCGGGAGGTGGTGGAGTCGGGGCAGCGGCAGGAGCGGTGTCTTCATCTTTCTTCCCTTTCTTCTTTTTCTTCTTCTTCTTTGGATCCGACTCCCCAGCATCAGCTCCTTCACCGTCTTCTTCATCCTCAAGCGCCGTAGCAGTGGCGATATGTACGGGTGCGGGAATTGGGGCGGCGTCAGGAGCGACATCATCATCGTTCTTCCCTTTCTTCTTTTTCTTCTTTGTCTTTTGGTCCGGCTCCGGGAACTCGTCCTCAGCTTGCGCGGTTACGTAGACGGGCAGGCGATCATCATCAGATTTCCCGATCTTGTCACTGATAGTGTTGTAGTTCTCCGCTGACACACCAGCAGTCTCCCTGAGAATTCGTTACTGGGGCAGATCGACATTAACTCCAATAGGCTCACCAATAGTCATCATCGTTGGCCTTTCCTTTCTTTCCTTTGTTTTTTGGCGGCATGATTGATACGATCGCCAATCGCTTGTAGTAGAGAAGAATTTGGGTTGAGGGATAGACTTTGGCATCTAATCAGTGTCGCGGAGGGAGTCTGCTTGAACAAAACAGGCAGATAATTCTCACGTTCGTTCATTCTTGCCTAAGTCTTGACGCCTCATTATTATTTTCGTCACAGCTACTCGATAATTTCCTCCTGCAAGGCTGCAACCTGCGCTTGTTTCCACTCGAGAATTCCAATAATGTAGACCATGGTGTATGCATATGACTTAAGTCTTGCAAAGGTCACGATCATCATCAAGGTCAAATTGGGTTAATACAGGTAAGATGTCAGGCTGCCCGTCTGCACATGCTGTCTCA